ACGTGAGAGGTTGTGCCGGAGTCAGGAAACCACTCATGACCTGGAGAGTTCGTGACATCCGTAATGTGTAAAGCAGCAAGGGCATTATGGATGTCATCCATCTGATAGCTGTTGTCAAAGCGGTGCCAGCATTTGACGGCTTGATGACCTACTCGACCACAGATCTGACAAATAGAGCGAGAGTCAGCTTCAGAAGAGACGGAGGAGGCAGAGGAGTTGGAGGAGGGAGACAAATGTTGATGAAAACCGCATCCCCTGGTGGAGTAGTTCCCTCTGCCTCGACCTCTTCCACGGTAAGAGTTTCCTCTGTAGGAGTTATTCCGTCCTCTGTTGGAGTAGAAGGCCAGATGTGGAGTAACAGAGCTGTCAGTAGCGTAACTCTGTAGCCGGTCATCATAGCTTGTTAGACGAGGAACTGGTGGAGTCGATTTCACCCTACTGTCAAATAAATCGTAAAAAAGGAAACTTCGGGAAAACCCTAAGTTTCCAGAGGAACCGGCTATCTGCGAGAACCGCACAACGAAAATAAGATGACGAAAATACTTAGAATTTAAATGAGAATAAACGAAAACAGAGAGCAAAGAGGTTCTTATTCCGAATCTGCGTAGAGCTGGTACAAAAAGAATTGCCGAAAGCGTAAGAACTAGAAAACCCTAATTGAGACGCAGCTCGCTAACAGAAAAACGGAAATATTCCTAAATGCTAGTTTTGGTTGTGAGAGCTCTGAATTTCGTGTGTGTGCTTCTGCCCTAGACCTCCTCTTTATATACTCCTCGTCTTGGCTATCCGATCTTTCCATTTCGCTCAGATTTGACTAAATCGGGAATTTTCCATTCTTCTCGATCCTTCCTTTTCTTCTGCGGAAATCTTCTATTTCTCTTCAAACCTTCCTTTTATGTTTAAACTTGACTTTTATTTTCTTTCTGCGAGTAAACCGTCAAAACGTTATCAAATCTGCGGGTTAGATTCCGTTGAAATCGCGAGATGGGTTTTTATCGGGTTTTAGGTCCTTCCGGGCCGTTTTGCGATAAAAATCGTTTTCCGACTTTTACGGGATCGTTTCCTGATCTGACGTCGTTTTTAATAAGTTTCTCGAGTTAATCGCAAATTTTTATGATTTACTCGACTTTTTATTAAAAACACGTTTTTTACGACTTACTCTGCGTATTTTTATTAAAAGCGCGTTTTTTATGATTTCGACGAGAAATCTCGAATAAATCGTATAGTTTAGGCAATGTTCGGTGTTTCGTTTAACCGTTGCCATTTTATACGATTTCCTCGAGTTCTTTCCGAGAAAACGAAGTTTTACGGTTTTTATCGTAAAACTCGAACGGTAAGTCGGATCGAGATGGAACGAGAGATATTTCGGCCGTGGTTTAGAACGCGACCTTGTCGAAAGACGTAAGTTTCGAATCGGGAATGCGGGAAATCGAGACGCGGAGTGTTCGGGAAGTTTTTAGTTNCGTTTTACGGCTTTTTCGGTTTTTTGCGGTTTTGTAAAACGATTCTCGAGTTTTATAAAACGATCTTCGGATTTCATAAAACGACTTTTGAGTTTTATAAAAACGATCTTCGAGTTTTATAAAATGATTCTCGAGTTTTATAAAACGGTTCTCGAGTTTTATAAAACGATTCTCGAGTTTTATAAAACGGTTTCTCGAGTTTTATAAAGCGATTCTCGAGTTTTATAAAACGATTTCTCGAGTTTTATAAAGCGATTCTCGAGTTTTATAAAACGATTTCTCGAGTTTTATAAAGCGATTCTCGAGTTTTATAAAACGATTCTCGAGTTTTATAAAACGGTTTCTCGAGTTTTATAAAGCGATTTTCGAGTTTTATAAAATGATTTCTCGAGTTTTATAAAGCGATTTCTCGAGTTTTATAAAACGATTCTCGAGTTTTATAAAACGATTCCCGAGTTTTATAAAACGTTTTTTCGAGTTTTATAAAACGATTCTCGAGCTTTATAAAACGATTTCTCGAGTTTTATAAAATGATTCTCGAACTTTATAAAACGATTTCTCGAGTTTTATAAAACGATTTCTCGAGTTTTATAAAGCGATTCTCGAGCTTTATAAAACGATTCTCGAGCTTTATAAAACGATTTCTCGAGTTTTATAAAACGATTCTCGAGATTTATAAAACGATTTCTCGAGTTTTATAAAACGATTTCTCGAGTTTTATAAAGCGATTCTCGAGCTTTATAAAACTGTTCTTTTTGTATTCTTGCGGAAAGTTTTGGCTATTAATTCCTTCGTACCGATTTTGACCCCAACAGGAACCACTTCTTCAAAGGTTGGTGTTGGGTAGGTGTCCATTGAACTCTCGATAGTAGTCTTGATGGGCTCATAGTCTCTGCTGAGTCCGTTAAGTGCAGCAAACACTTTCATGCGCTCAGGGACAGGACTATTGATGGAAGAGAGTTGAGAGCAGATGACCTTGATCTCCTTCAAGTACGCATCCATGGTCTTCTCACCTTTGGAGATGGTTTGAAGCTTTCTCTGGAGCTCAAAGAGACGAGAGGAGGTGGAGCGGTTGTAGTAGCGAGCAAGAGCATCCCAAACTTCATAAGACGTCGAGCAGTCAACTACCACACTAAGAATATCTTCAGAAAAGGAACCCAGTAGCCAAGATTTAACTACTTGGTCTGTTTGAAACCAACGACTATACTCGGGATGAGGAGCTTCATCGTTGTTGCCGTTGATGTTCGGAACTTGAATAGTTGGAGGTGGTTGGGGGTTTTGGCCAGTGACAAAGCCAAGCAGTCCTTGTCCGTTTAGGAATGCTTCAAACTGAGACTTCCACAGAATGTAGTTGCGGTCTGTGAGAGTGACTGTAACACAGTTAGAGATGCGGAGAGACGGTGGGTTAATCACCTCCATAGCCATAGCATCCAAGGAGTTTAGTCCTGGTGCTCTGATACCATAAAGGTAAATGAAGAAGATCAAGTTTTGTTTTGTAAACTTTTATTTCTTACTTAACTTCTTTCTCTTTACAGGGTTCCTTCATTTATACAAGAAATGTAAAACCCTAGAACACACACACGTGTCATCATCAGGTGCAAGACAAATGATCTAAGGCTGAGAATGGATTGGACATCTCGATCAAGCACGCTCTTTGGTTCGTACGGGTAGCAGCTGGCTTCTGCATTATGCTTTTCAGAGCCGCCTACCGTTGTGATGTTTGTTGACCGGTTGAAGACAAAACATTGTTGGGCTTTTGTTGAACTTGGGCCTCACTCTTGGTTTGGGTCAGAATGGCTTTGCCTTTTTCTTCAGCAGTGAATCTCTGCTTTGGCAAAACTGTGCCGTTTTTCCCATTTGCATTTTGAGGTCCTTTAGGAGGTAGTGGCATTGTTGATGATGGAGGCCGGGTATATGGCATTGTCAGAAAAAATCAGAAAAGTGTTGTGGTTAAATGAGATATGTGAGGAGATCGGTTTAAGGCAGAAGGCTGTAGAGATACATTGTGACTCAGAAAGTGATCACAATTACATGTATCATGAGAGGACGAAGAAGATATCAGTTTAATATCACTTTATAAGGAGAATTATAGCTGAGGGTGAAGTGAAGGTTCTTAATATTCATAAATCAATGAATCTTACATATATGCTTACTAAGGTACTACTAGAAGAGAAGTTTGAAAAGGGTCTCAGGACACTTAAAATAATCGGCTGATGAGTGGATGAGTCTTGTCATCACATGTGCTGATTGAGAGGTGACAAGGACGAGCTTCAGGAAGAGATTCGAAGAAAGGAATTCAGCTAAGGAAAGAGGCATAGGTAACTCGGGACAGACAAAGTTAAGGATACCAAAATTGGAATATACGGTGACTGAAGAGCATATACAACCAAGATTCTACTACTAAGTCAGGCTTTATGTGGGATGTTAGCTAAATGGGTCCAAGAGTATAGAGGGTCTTACTGGCCGGTTATTGTGAAAGGTCTAATATGAATAGATAATTACACAAAAATAAATATTGAAATCTCCAGTTTTCTTCTTACGGTTAATCTATGGCCTTTTTCTCCTCACCTTTTTCATGTAAGGTATACTGCTAAAGCCTCAACCTTTGTTTGAAGAAGATAATGGAGGTTGGAATGTAACTGTAGAAACTTTATTGTAGAATATAATCTCCATATTTTTTTAGGTAGATATATCTAATATAACTGTAGAAATTAAATAAGAAAAATAAAAAAATAAAAAAATATTCTTTCAGCAATCATACAACCTTTTTTATTTAATAAATAAGGTTCATACAGTTTTTCTATTTAGTTTTAAAAATTAATTAAACCATGATTAGTGATTTATACGGTTACTAAGATTAAAGATGAAAAACATTACATATTACCATTGTTTATCATTTGAATAAATACATAATACACACATTTTATAGTTGACCACTGTTTACGGATGAATTTGAAATCCAATAGAGAAACACAACATTTGATGGAGCTTTAAATAAGAGAAGTGTTAGACATTTGACATCCATAACTGTTAGATCTTGAGGAGTTGGTGTTTTCTTGCTCTACAGCTTTATCCAGCGATTACCTATGGTGGGCTTAATTTTTTTCCAGAAATGAATTGATCTGTTTGGGATTTTTGTGTGTTTAATTGAAATTAATTGTTTACCTTTTTCTTTTAGTATTTTAAATGTTTAGGTTACCGTTTATTACAGTGTCGATCGTGGGATAGTAAATATAGTGGGAAAACATTTTAGTTAATGTAACTGAAAAACTTTTAATAATGAAAAAAATAGACAGTAAATTATTTTTTTGGAAAACAATACAAAATAGAAACTATTAACACGTGCCGCTTTTAGGATTGCTAATTGACTTATGTTTTGTTATATTAAAAATATAAAATAAACCTTTGACCAAAATAAATAAATAAATAAATTTACTTAAAGCCACTGTTACGTCCCCCCCCCCACACACACCACAATGTCAGCAGTTCTCAAATCAACCCAGCAATGGCATCTTTGCTATTGTCGATATAGGGAACATGATTGGTCAACCTAGTGTTGACTTCAGCTCTGGACTGAACGTGATGTTTATGTGGAGAGGGATGTGGTTACAAGGAAGACATGTAGACACAGAAAATGAGTGGAGATTTTCTAAGACAGATGCTGCTTACTGTGGTTATGTTTCGGAGGATAAAGTTACAGAGTTCGATTTAAGTACTGTGTTTTGGGAGACTAAAGTTACCTTGTTATCTAGGATGTTTTGTAATGTCAAGGCTTTATCTTCTTTATATCTATAGAGCCATGGCTTGTATGAATCTGGAATAAACTATCTTTGATGTTGTTTATATAACCGTAGAGATATATGTAGGAGATTACTTAAAGATTTGGAGTATGAGCATGTGCAAAGTTTTGGAAATTCGATGTTTGTTTACCGATGTTGTGAAAATAGAGTTTAGTTAATCTTGTATACTCTCAAACATGAATATGGAAGAAACTGTTGATGTTGTGATTCATGGAACTAGTGCTTTGTTTCTTTGTTGTTGCTGCAAAGAATGAAATTACAGTTTCTGCCTCCTTGCTCTATTAACTGTAGTGAAGATCAGTAGAACAAGTGATATGGAACATTTGTTAGCAGCCACTGGAGATTAGAATCTTTAATTTCAAGTTCAGCTGCAAGAGATGACAATTCCTCTCTCTTTCTTCTTCAGCTTTTACCGCTGCTATTTCTTCGACTTAATTCGTCTTTCCATGTTCTTTATCAAAGCAGCACTTTCTTTGGTATGGATACGGTCGAAAGGTATGCCCAAGCTCATGATCAGTGGAAAATATGATATGGTTGCTTATGGTTTGTTATAATTTATTTGGTAATTCTCTAATTTCAGAAAGGGATGCATTCACTTTGTCCAGCGTTGTGCGGCTGTTTGTTTCACTATCTAGATGAGTCATGTGGATGGAGATGAGAGTTTTATTTGTTTAGACACTAAAAATACAATTCAAATGGATGGTTCATCTGGATGACTTTGAAATTTTAGGCTTAATTTTAAAGTCAATCCAACTCGATCAATTTAGACCATCTAGATGGAGATGGTTCTATCAGAATGGTATAATGTCTATTATACCGCTTATATAATTCACAAATTACAATCCTAAACCTAATATCATTTTGTTGCTCACGAAAAATGATAAAACCACATTTTTTTGCCAAAATTGCAAAACACATTTTCCCACCAAAACCACATGAACATATTTTCCTGCCAAAACCGCAAAAACGTATTTTCCCGCCAAAAACACATTTTTCCGCCAAACGTATTTTTCGCCAAAACCCGCAAAAAGCATTTTTCCGTCAAAACCCGTAAAATGCATTTTCCCACCAAAATCTCAAAAACACATTTTTCCGTCAAAACCCGGAAAACGCATTTCTCTCCAAAATCGCAAACACTTATTTTCTCGCCAAAATTGCAAAACGCATTTCCCGCCAAAAACCGCAAAAAAATGCATTTTTCTGCTGAAATCACAAAGGGTATTTTATCGCATTTTCCCGTCAAACCCCAGCAAATGCATTTCCTGCTAAAATCACAAAAACTCATTTTTCCGCCAAAACCCGCAAAACACATTTTCTGTCAAAAACTGCAAAAACGCATTTCCTGCCAAATCGCAAAACGCATTTCCGGCCAGAATCACAAAATTTTCTCGTCAAAACCTGGCAACACACATTTTCCCGCAAAATCGTAAAAACTCATTTTTCCGCCAAATCTGCAAAACGCATTTCTCATCAGAAACCGCAAAACACATTTCCCGCGAAAACCGCAAAAATGCGTTTCCCACCAAAATCACAAAATACACTTTCCCACAAAAATCGCAAAAACTTTTTTTTTTACCAAACCATAAAAACATTTTTTCCGTCAAAACCATATTTTAAAATTATTATATTTTGATAACTAATAAACATTATTATAGTGAAATAGAAATAAAATATGATTAAATCTAAAAAAAGGTATATTAGTAATTTATTTACTAAACTCATCTAGATGGAGATGAAAATAATGAAACAAACATTAGTCCATTTAGATGATTCATCCAGATGATCCATCTGGATTGACAAACAAACAATCTCAATAATATTTGGATGGAACATTTGGATGAATCATGTAACTGGATCATCTAGATGGAGATGAGAGATGGTGAAACAAACATGTCCGTTGTCAAAGCATCGAAGATGGCTTTTGATGTCAATGATCTTCCTCAGTCCTTTAGCTTGCGTGAGTGTCATCTACTATGCGTGCTTGCGATATGAGACTTAGTTTCTCTCGCAAGGTTGGTTAGATAATTGAAATTACAGTCTCTAATGATTTATATCTTGAAGAAGCTTGAAACAATCTTTGTTGTACTCTGATGAAAACATACGAAACTGGCCTGAAAAATCATTGGGAATAGGCGATTCTCAAGCCTTCGCTTGGTGTTGGTCCGGTCTCATGATGAAACCAACACTGCAACTTAGGTAAGATTTAAAAACAAGCATCTCTTTCTTTTCCCGCCAGAACTTCTCAGAAAGCTTGTAAATAGAGTGTGTGTTCTGCATTTGGTGGAAGTAATCCTGGGATGCAAACCGAACTTAAGACATTGACCAGATCCTTTCAGCTGAAATTCTTGATAAAGATAAAGAGCCTGAGCTTTTTGAAGTTGTGAAAGATATGATGATTCATGGTCCTTGTGGAGCTGTTAACATATATTCGCCTTGCATGAAGAATGGGAAATGTTCTAAGCTGTATCCTAAAGTTTTTGCTAAGAATACTACTGTTAACAGAGAAGGACTTCCTCTCAACAGAAGAAGAGAACAGTCTGATCGCTTCATTGAGAAACATGGATTCAAATGTGATAACATATATGTCATTCATTATAACAGGGAACTGTCACTTCGTTATCGAGCTCACATTAATATTGAATGGTGTAATCAATATGGTTCTGTTAAATACCTATCAAGTATCTTAATAAAGGACAAAATCGGTGTACCGTAGCTGTTGAAAGTGCAGAAATTGCCAAACATAAAGGAGTATCAGACCAGACTGTCTCAACTGATGTAGGTTCAACAGAGGAGAAGAAAAATGAAATTAAAGACTTTTTCAACTGTAAGTATATTTTTTTGGCTATTTGTACATTAAATTTGATGGAATCTATACTTAATCATAGGAGCAAACGATCATGCTTTTTTGAACTTGTGCAGATATGTGTCGGCATCTGAAGGTACTTGGAGAACTTTTAAGTTCTGTATACACTATCGATCTGTTCCAATTGAGAGGAATCATTTTCACCTACCGGGAAAACAGATTATCGTTTTCAAAGATGATGACACATATCAAGAAGTTACAAGCCGCGTTCTGATTGAAAATACAATGTTCTTGGGCTGATTTGAATTAACAAGGTCAGTGATGTTGCTTGAAACTAACTTTAGTTGAAACTCCTACAAGGTTTATTTGGAAGAAAAAAGAACGAAAGTTTACTGATAGAAAGAGATGATTCAGTATTGGTAGAATCAACTACGCTCCACGAAAGATGGAACATGAATTTTACTTGCATGTCTTGCTGAATATTATAAGAGGTCCGACATGTTTTGATGATATTAAAACTTTTAACAAGGTTCTCTATTCGTCATACAAAGAGGCATGCTTTACTCGGGGTTTGTTACAAGATGATCAAGAATACATAGATGATATTGTGAGGACAAGTTTTACACTTTCGGCGTCCTATATACGGTAATGTTTTGTGATCATGCTCATGTCAGATAGTCTATCCAACCCAGAAGTTGTTTGGGAAAACATTTGGGAATTTCTATCTGGAGATATTGAGTATCGTCGTAAAAGCTATTAAATAGACCAGGTATTTTACTCTAGCATAATACACTCGCATAATTTTGATTCATTAACTAATAATCCCACATTTTTATTGCGTAGATTTGCATTTGAGTGAAGAGGATATAAAACCGTTTACTCTTCACGAGATTAAGAAGATCTTAAAGAGGAATGGTACAGTAGAACCTCTATAAATTAATACTCGATAAATTAATAAATTCTATAAAATAATAAATTTCACCGGTCCCTACTTGGGCCGGTGTAAAATATGACACAAATCGATAAAATAATAAGATAATAATATTTTTAAAACTACCATGTAAATATATAGTCCCATTAAAATCATAAATTAATAATCTATCTATATATAGTTTTTTATAAGTACAATCTAACATTATATTGTTGGTTTTATATTTACAATAAAAATATTAATATATTTTGATAATATTTAGTTAAATTATATCGAAAACCACATAAAAAATCTATGAAACATTAAAATATACACCAAATAAGATGATAAAACAATATAAAAATCAAATTTCTAAAATTTAAATAATATACATCTGCGGAAAATTAGATATTTTTTGACTTTATAAATAAAAATTGAAAAAAACAGGAAAAATCTGAATAAGGAAATTTTTGGTAAATTAATATCTCTATAAATTAATAAAATTTTAAAGTCCCAACATTATTAATTTATAGAGGTTTTACTGTACTTCTTTGGAGACATGGGAATCTATACCAAAGCCAATATCTGATTTTACTCAGCAGGAGAATGTTTTGATAATGAACGAGATTGGATATGACAAAGAGAAGTTAAAGGCTGATCACAATTTGGATTGTATAAAAATGACAGACGAACAGAGAGAGATTTATGATGAGGTTCTTACTGCTGTCTTAGAAAATAAATGAGGCGTCTTTGTTGTCTATGGCTTTGGTTGAACTGGAAATTTTTTTTATGGAGATTGTTATCTGATGCTATTAGATACAGAGTAGAAATCTGTTTGAATGTTGCATCAAGTGGTATCGATTCGTTGCTACTACATGTGGGAAGGACATCACATTCTAAATTTGGAATACCAATCAACTAAGATGAGTTTTTAACTTGCGCGCTAACTCAAGGATCTGATCAAGCAAATTTGATTAAAGCAGTTTCTCTGATTATTTCGGATGAAGCCCCAATGATGAGCAAACACTGTTTTGAATCATTGTATATGAGTATGGCTGACATTGTTGGGAATAAGGAAAAATTTTCTTTTGGTGGGAAAGTTGTTTTCATAGAAGGATATTTTAGACAAGTGTTGCATGTCATTCAAGGAGCTGAAAGAGCTGAAATTGTTTTGACATCTTTAGATTCCTCTTATCTTTGGAAACATGTGAAAGTTATGAAGCTTACAAAGAATATAAGTCTAATGTAAAACAATTTATCCTCTGAAGAAGCTAAATATTTAGAAGAGTTTTCACAGTGGATATTAGATGTTGGAGATGGAAATATAGGTGACAGCAATGATGAGGAGGCTCTAATCAATATTCCTGAAGAGTTTTTTATCTCGATGTAGATGACCCGATTGAGTCTATAAGTAAATATGTGTATGGTGATGTCTAAGTTTTTCGATGAAAGAGAAATACTCTGTCCAACTAACTAGGATGTCGACAAGATTAATTATCACATGTTGGATAAGATTGATGGTTAGTTATTTATTTCAGACTATATCATCATTTTCTCTTATCATTCAGATATCTATAAGTTAAATGATTTATTTGTTGATTGATATTTTAGGTGAAGAAAGGATCTACTTAAGTTCTGATACGATAGTTGCTTCAGATAAATTTTCAGTTAATGATCAAATTCTGACTCCAGATTTCTTAAACACCATCAAAGTTTCAGGTTTACAAAATCATAGTCTTCACTTAAAGATTGGTTGTCATGTAATGCTACTAAGAAACATAGATACAACTGGCGGATTAATGAATGGGACTCGACTTCAGATTACAAAGATGTACCCTGCA